GTGTGTGTGTGTGTGTGTGTGTGTGTGTGTGTGTGTGTGTGTGTGTGAATATATGTAGCAACAGTTACCTGTGACTGTCAGCATAAGGCGGTTTGCTGTATCAGTTATTAAGCGACAATAAAATGACCATGTTGCAGGAAATAACTGATCGCCCTGTACAGTATGTTTGGTTGTAAATTAAATATTGTATCTATTATTTACAGTATTGAAACAAGCTTCCATGTTCAAATGAGGTACATGTACGTGACAGGTATGGTAGGCTGTGAAGTCACTACGTACATATTCACATACTGTAGCCTACTGTACATGACTTAAGTTTTTCCAATGATACAATTGTTCTTATTCAATTCATTTTAAGAATTATAATTCAATTTGATACATATTTTAGTCTTTAGAATATCAGAAAATAGTAAAAGAAATGCTCTTCACAAGTTCCGAGAGATGTTGTGTTAACTATCATGGAGTCAAGACTACATGCACACTGCAAGCCTTAGTGCTCAATTTGGATGTATTGCTCAGATACTTTTGGCTGTCCACATTATCTTTTAAATGAATGTAATCTATTTCAGATCACAGTGTGAACTGGTCACGGTCCTCAACTGACCCACAGGTGGAAAAGACAATAGCAAAGACATGCAGTCAGCGTAAACATAGGGCTTATGTGCAGGTCACAATACGACCCCTTAATACTTATGAGGTCTAACACTTCACCGGCTACCTCCAATGCAGCTGTCTTCCATGTTGGTATTCACAGAGTGACTCCCGCCAACGTAGAATTGTGATGAATGCAACCTGGTGTCACAGAATACGTGAAGTGACCACGACCTGTTGACGGGGAATTACGTGTTGGTGGCACGTAATCAATTAGGATCCTTTTTCGTGATGGACACAAATGAAACGCATTTACGTGAATATGCAACGACCAGAGCTAGTGGCGTAGTATTAACAGTGAAAAAGACTCTTTCCAGTGGGCAGAAGGGAGGTAAACAAACAAACGGGACCGTCAACCATGGGTTCACAAAGAGAACTGGATACAGCACTGGAGCCGGGCTCTGCTCGTTCTTATTAAAGTTGCTCACTGGTGCATGAAGCTAAAACAGGTTTGATTTCGAGTATAAAATTAAATATAAAAATTAAGGAAAATAACTCTAACATTGTTGTATTTTTCAAAGTTCAAGACCAAAATTGAAACTTTCAATTTCAATTTTTTTTTTCAAATGATCAAAACTTTTGGCCTGGATTTGGCTCCATAGAGTTACAGAGATGTCTCTTTCCCCAATGTAAGTTTATGGGAAAAAGTCTTTCTGACCCGAAAATTGTAATTCCATTGTTTGGCCACTTTGTAATATTTGTGTCAAAACCCGGCGCTCTTTGTGAGGCCTTGCTTTCAACCAGGAGACTGTTGTTCATGTGCCAAAGTGTTGAGTTAGTGCGAAGTTAGTGACTTTTGTCCTAAACCTAACTAAGTGGGTGTGTTGCTTGTACTTAACATTACACAGTTTCTGTGTGTGGGGGGGGGGGGGCATGTAATGTATTAAAATTACGTTTCAGCAGTAATGTCAAGAGGTCGTGGTCATGTCACGTATTTCTGTGAGACCATGTGACGTAAAAGTTGCATGAATTTCATTATAACTGTTCAGACTGAGGTCGCATTATAAAGAGATCAGACCTGTATCTGGTTTAGGATCACAGGAGAACATAAGTGGCCCAAATCAGAAGTGAACAGATCAGGGTCCATGTGATTTGTGCTGTTAACGCGGTTATGAAAAAAACACATCTGAGTCACATATGCAAAAAAGTTGCTGTGTTTGTGCGTATGTGTTGTTGTTGCTGGCTTGTGTGTGTGTGTGTGTGTGTGTGTGTGTGTGTGTGTGTGTGTGTGTATCAGTACCTGGACAGTAGAGGGTCTGGGGGGTTGTGTATTTAGCTCCTACATTAGACCACATACTGCCGGTTAAATAATTAAAGTCAGGCTCAAAGTCAACTCAAAAAGTAGCACCGTGGAAGGGCCATGTTGGATAACTTTATAAACATCAACAGGTCCCACGATTCACAATCACTTTGCTAACATATGACGCCTTTCTATCTCTGTTCTTAGGTTCTGGTCAGATTGAAGGCACCTACGATTTGTTTCTCAAATCCGATCTTTAAGACAGACTGTTGGCACTGTTATTTGAAAGTCATTAGATCGTATTTGTGTGTCCTGACATCCCCCAGCTATCTGCATGGATCTGCATTCTGTGGTAACGATGTAGGCGTCAGTAACTACCTACCTACGCTGGTGACTTTCCACGGTGAAACATGAGAAATAAAAATGAATCATTTAGCCCTCCAAACAATTGCTCTGCAATCACACTCCATCACACAACAACAAGAAAGCAGCTGAGGAGCACAGGAAGCTTAATGTTGTGATGTTCCATGTTGCAGTCATGGCAGGCATCACTGCGAAGCAAGAGACCTGCTCTCTCTAAGGTCTCCTCCTCTTTTCTCCCTGTTAAAGGTTTTTTTGGGGGAGTTTTTCGTGTTCCGATGTGAGGGTCAAAGGACAGAGGATGTAGTATGTGTACAGATTGTAAAGTCCTCTGAGGAGAATTTGTGATTTTGGGCTATTCAAAATAAACTGAATTGAATTGAAAATTGAATTGGTGCCATCTGGTGGGGACATGTAGTCCTCGGGACCTTTTGATGAAGATAGGTGGCCTGTTGACAGGTGTTGTCTTCAGAGTATGTTGTCCAGTAAATCAAAAACTGTGTTGCTGATAAGAGCTGCCGTTTGTTTTAGTGCCATCTTTAATTTCCTTGTATTTAGTTCACATTTTAAATATTTTCTTTGGCACCCTTGGAATCTCTTGTGTTCCATGCCGTCAGATATCCTTCAAAAATAGTTTTGTGTGTTCCGGTAGGTTCCTTTACGTCTTGCCTGTACTGAAGCCCTTCCCCCAAAGGACCAGCAGACCATTTATGTCAGTGTCTGTCCACAGGCAGTCGTTCTCTTACATGTTGTCCTCATAGCACTCTGCTCGTAGCAGCATGGATCCTGCCCAGCAGGCTGGACTGAGGCGCATCTGTAGAAATCTGATTGGAATCGCATTTCAAACCACCTCCAAATGTTGTTTGGATGTGATTTGGCCTTTTTTGACTTTTCTTGTCCAGATTTTCTAGAATCAATCTGGATATTCCAAAAGAATGTATTTGGGCTGGCAGTCTGAACAATGCCTCAGTGTCTCCTCTTCCATTTGACTTAGCACTTCATCAAAGTGAAATGACTCGCCATTGGCCTCGAAAGAACTCATGCGCTAATGCCCCATTGCACTGAGCTTTGTCGAGTTTCCTTAAAAGAGTCTGCCGCACACAGTTACAGAAACATCATGGCTGATTGGATCAGATGTACATAGCCGTGCATGTTTAAGGGTCATTTAGAATAGCAAGTACCATTACTTTGGATGATGAACAAAACAGTATTATAGTATTATATATTCTGGTTGTCTGAAAAAGCCTGAGTGAGGTCATCAAGGTTTGATGTCTATGTTTGGATTTGGAGACCACTAATTTATAACAGAACTCAGCAAGGAGGGTCTAAACTAATACTTTCATAACTTTGCAATATGGGAAATCGTAAGAGTCCGTGTTATTAGAGCTTTACCCGTACCAGGGACTAAAATAATGTGACCATTGTTGTTGTATGTGGTATTGCAACTTTGAATATAGTAAATGATTTTAATACAACTGACAATCTTTAATAACTGTTGGATTTTCACACTTAACTGACATCCACTAATTCCCGGTCTCCCCACTCTACTAACAGGGTCTGATTCTGAGCTGGGCCATCATGATGCCAGTGAACTTTCTGGTCACTCATTGGCTGACCAACTTAATACCAGGTAAGGAGGACAGCAAACATGTATGACAGCAATACCAAGTAATACCATCAATTGACCAAAACTAATAGCAGGGTAGCTATTAGCTGATATGCCTTTTACACGTTGAGCGTTCTGAATGGATGAATTTACTTGAGCTGCTTGACTGTAGTTAGAAACTGTGAAATAACTATAGTGTAATTAGAGAATTACTATAAGGTATAACTGATTGTCTGTGAACTGATATTCATCAAGATACAGGAAGCAGCAGAAATGATACTATGTTGGCAGATAGATTGATGGAGTCCAGTCTCACCCCATACCCCAGATTGTAGATTGTAGCTCGTAGCTCCATATTTCCTATATTCTGAGCCTTCTGCTGTCTTGGTTCCTCGCCAAGATTGCCAAGGCTGCCTAGTATATGCAAATATGGACTTTTTCTAGGGAGATTCTTTAAAATAATTGTCCAAAGCGTGAAGTAATGAGATTAAAAAGATTCACTAAATCAAGAAAATAGCAGAAACAATGATCCCTTGCTTTGTTGTGTGTGTCTGTGTTGATATGTGTGTATCAGTACCTGTACAGGTGTTTGTGTATTTAGCTCCTACATTAGACCCTCAATCACACAGTGTCAGTAGTTCTAAGGGCAAGGAATTATTCAAAATGATCCAATAATTAAAGTCTTTACAGAATGATAATAACACAAATATAGCTCCAAGTGGCCGTTCCGGGTACAAGCCCTTTTCTTTGCTCAACAGAAGGAAGCAGCTCAATTGCCCAAATCAAAGCAGCAGGCAGCAGCAAGCGGGGTTTGTACGACCAAAGTCACTTCAGCTGGTTTAATTCTGTCTAAGGAGTTGTTCATCATGACAATGTATGCAGCCTTTTAGTAATTGAATCAGTGTACCATCAGTCCTATTTCTTGGCATTTGGGGAAATGGTTCGACAGCTTAATTAAAAATATCCAGCAAGTTTGGTGATGTTTTGACAAACTGTCATCAAATTATTGCCAAATTTGCATCAGGCCATTGCTCATGTGTGGAACTGTCACGGTATATTTCAGTTTGTTGGCGTTAGGTCCGTTAATGTGCTGAGCATGCCCATTTGAAGTTCATCGGTCAATATCTTGGAAAACAAATACAATATCAACATGCTTTTGATAAGTACTGATAAGTAGTAAGGTGGCCGTCAGACCTACAGTTTCAAAAATTCAAAATGGGGGAAAATGGCAAACTTTATGGCCCAAGAGGCTTTTTTGTAGAGCACATTGAGCTGGATATGTGTGTCAAATTTCAAGTCAATCGGACTGTGAGGACTGTGGCCTATCCCAAACAAAGCTTTTGCTAACATTTGGGGATTTCCCTCAGTAAATATATGAGTTTCTCTGATCTGTTATGTTTTATGGGCGTCTGTGGCTTAGGAGGTAGAGCGAGTCTTCCACTAATCAGAGGATTGGCGGTGATCCCTGGCTTCTCCAGTCAGCATGTGAAAGCGTCCATGGGCAAAACCCAGATGCATGGTAGCCTTTGCCATCAGTCTATGAATGTGTGTGTGAATGGGTGAATGATGTAGTGGATAGACTTAGTAAATTAACTTGCATTGATATAACTTTTTTCCCGTCTTCCGACCACTCAAAGGGCACTACATATCAATGCTCAAACATTCACTCACTGATGTCATGCAAGATGCCACCTGCCCATCAGGACCTAAACCAATGCACATTCACGCACACTCACACACCGATGGCACAACCTTCTGGAGCAATTTAGGGTATCTTGCCCTTAGAAACTTCAACATGCGGACTGGAGGAGCCGGGGATCCTTCTGATTAAAAGACGACCCGCTCTGTGGCTCAGAGGTAAAACGGGTCATCATATATGTATATATGTGTGTGTGTGTGTGTGTGTATATATGTGTGTATATATATATATATACATATATATATATATATATATATATATATACATATATATATATATATATATATACATATACAT